TGACTAAATTGAAAAATTCTGTCTTTTTAAGCGAATATCGTAAAATGTACAGACTCCAATTAGAATCACCGATTCTACCAAACCAGATCCTGACATATATAACCTAACTTAGCCCTGTGCTTGTCAATAAATTCCAATTATCGAGAATTAGATCGATATACGCGAGAAAACCGATACAGATATTGTGCACTTGGATGAAAATGTCGCCGGTTACTCGCGTGGATAGTCTTTTCTGGTTAGACACTTGTCATTTCACATTTGGAAAGATATGTACATGTAGTCAAGTAAGTTTTGGAAGATTGGGAGAGTCAGATACATTTCAATCTCACACTCACTATCCGGAAAGTATTTATTTATTTATACATAAATATTGCTTGTTCCACCATATTTCTTTCATATCGAAGCAAATCTCTGCGAGTAACAAAGGTTTGTCGGGGAAGCGAGTGTAAAGGGTAGGAGCCCATTAACAAAAGGGATTGATGGAACCAAGGCTGCGCCTGGAGGGCAAGTTAGGACACTACTAGTATGTCAGCCAGGTCGTATCCATTTGGCCCAATCAGCTTGGAGATTTACCAAAAGACCATTACCACACAAAGTTTCGATAAGGAAAACACATTCTTTATATTCAGGGGGCACGCAGGATACCTGTTTGATGTAGCAAACCGCAGAGGAATACCTCGTACGTCACCGGGCGTCTTGTCTCTACTCTTTGACGCTGTGTTAGCTCTCGGCATCCTAGATGACGAAACCCGACCGCGCCGCCACATCATTACGAGGCCTAAATCCGGCCAGATCATGGTGAGCAGCGTTCCCGGAACCTTTCTTTCTGCACAATTCCCGGAACGCAGAAGCTCAGACACCGTGCCGTCGGCCTTGTTTTAGACGGACTTACTACTCAAAGACAGACAGGAGTAGGTTTTACGGTTTGAAAGAAGGCGCAATTAGCGACGCTGGTTTGTTCTTCCTCCTCTCTGGCTACAGCTTCCCGCTCCCGTTCATCCCACGGTAAGATTGAACCTCTCCAAGTCAACTTACATTGCTTTCGGTTGTTACGTTGTGGAAAAATATCTACTAGTATTTTATGATAGTTCTTCTCTTGGCGGCTGATAGACATCCGAACGCGATAGCGGCTATGTAGGATGGTCGGCTATGTTAAAATAACGCGTTAAAACTCTTCCCCACCGCCGCGGGGCCTGCACAGGAGGCTACGTGAGTTGCCGGTTTTTATCGATGATGCCAATGAATAGCTAGAAGCATACTGTGATTCAAAACGAGCAACTGTTTTCCGCTAATGACATCGTATTTTTGCCTCACACATATGTCAGTACGTTATGGGAGAAAATTGGTTCAACTTACTACATTAAAAGAATGGCCATAAAAGGGACTTTGAAGGTTAATTGGATGCCATTAAAGCTCAGATACGTCTGGCAATAGTCGTGTTTAACATCTGATGCCTAAGGCAAGCATTATCAGACTTACCTGTGGCATGTGTAGATATTATTTAACGTTATGCAACCATTTCTAGACGTACCTTTTAGACTTACCTTGAACATAGTTACGTAATAGCCAGAATAGGACGTGGAGCATGATGCACAGGGCTCAACAAATGAATCTATACTGGTAACATTTATTGCCTACAGAACACATTACAAGATATACCTGGCATTTTTTTATTTGACATCATTTGGGTAAATTGCACCTTCCATGCAGTGTTAGTTTGTTTGGATCCATGTCCTCCATGCCCACACAGCTCATATGACGGGCAGAGTAAATAAGTTATGTTTTCATTTTAGTCCTTAGAGTGGGGTGAATCACGGCACGAGGACCTTTAGCAACGTTAGAGAGTAAGTTACCAATCTGGGGTCTTGGAAGAAACCTTCTCCCCGCTTATTTATCACGTAAGCTTGCACTTTGTTGCTGAAGAAGTCAAGGCCGTCAGTGTCGAGATTTCGGTAAGATCGGGGTCAGAAAGGGTGCCAAGTATGTACGGAACTTATTGAATATGGGAGATTAAGCCATAAATCTATGGTACAGTAATGGATTCATACGTAGATGATTTGTCAAGAATGATGTATTGTATGCTTGCGCTTCGCTTTGAAAGTCAAATGTCGAATGAAATAATTTAAGATTTAAGATATGATTCAAGATCAAAACTTTGTGGCAAACACAAAGGTATTTGACAATTAAATCAGACGAAATCTTCATGAGTTATGGTATTAAAGACCCGTTCCTGTCTGACAATTGATTGTCCGCAAACATGGCGTCAGGGGGTCAAAGTTGCCCAGAAGTTTGTATCACATTGTTCCATAGATGATATTGTTACATTCGTCGAAGGTCACCGTACACTTAATGTCGTTTTAATGGTTTTTAATGTGGCTCAAAACCAACCACCGACAAGAATTTAACTTAAAGACAACCTTTCCCATCACAAAGAATGCTGAAGTTTGCAGGTAACATGCACCGCTATGCCAATAATACCTGGGCCTATTTTTGCGATTGTTCGGCGATTTGACGTATGTGACCAGATGAGTACAAAAACTAAAAAAACAGATAGGAAAAAAAGAAGAAAATTCTTTATTTACGGGTAAAGTTCAGATGCAACGTTGACCAAACATCCACCATTCTCTTCCGACGTGTTGGTCATTGTTTACCTCACTGCGCACAGGCTATGCTGGCGGAAAGATGTTCACGCGGTGCTCACGTGATGTTCACGTGATCCAACAAGAAATGCACCAGTCTGACACTGAAAAGTCTGAAAGTCAACGTCTGTGTCGCGACCGTCAATCTTCCCAGTCACATAACGCCTTTAACATGATTCCCACATACGAACGGGCTTAGAAAAAAAAGCAGGCGCTCCATTCAATCATTAACCACAATAACTTGTCTGAGTATCCAATATAGGGATTTGGTACAGGGACAGAATCCCTGTGGCACAGCCTTAAACACCATTTCACAGCTTAAGGTTTAGTACAAGACGCTTTTGTTAATGCCACCACTGCGTGTGAGTGAAATCTGCTCAGAAAAGACTGACACCTAATCGCAATTACAGAGTGCAGCAGCAGCAAATATGAGGGTTTTGACAGATACAGATGAGAAATATTCTCCAGACTTCGAGATCCCAGCGGGGTATATATACGTGTTTTGGCAAAGGCACCGCCTGTTATATACAGTGGAGTGAATTCCATTTGAATCGTAACGAAGTTGATCACACAACCATACCATTCCTGACTGTAAACAGATAGTGAAATACCAAGGTGCTGAGAGCGAATTTCATGCACCGTCGGACGGAGTAAGGGAGAGGAATGCAAAGAAGGCAGAAAACGTGAGTTCGATAAGTGTTTTGTAAGTTTACACAGTTCCAAACACGTCTCGAAACGTGACTTGTTTGCGAGGGAATCATTTATCAAGAGAGAACCCACCCACCACTCAACTGTGAGTTACCTTCCCCTGCATTTCAATTGTGACATGCTGCGTGATTTTTTATATTTAATTATCTTCACGACGTTTGTTATGTATGACCAACAACGAGCAACATAGTCTGACAATCAATTCTTGTTTTACCAACTCGCATGAAAACTGCAAATGATTTTGAGGCAAACCTGGATTTTCAAACTTCTTAGCATTCTGAGCTAGACGTTGGAAACACACTTGAAACAACTTTCCTCACTCCACCCAGGTGTAAAATGAGTACCTGACTTCAGTTAAGGAGTTAAAAGACGGTGGAAGGAGAAGGATTTGATTTGATTTTAATTCCAAAATATAACGCAAGACATGGTGACGGCACCCTCAAGTTTTTTTTTCAACTTAATCTTATGCCACCAGCAACTCAGAGGACAATTTTCACCAGCGTTAAGTGACAAAAGTCGTGTATGATGCCGTACCCAAGGCACAACAAGATCCGTGGCATCCCCATGGTAGGTTCTAACTCGGGACCTCTTTGTTCTGCGCTGAGTACTCTTCCGTTACGCCACACGACCCCAATTTACAGCATTGGTTCTACCTTCCAATACCGTCCCCTAGAAACAGTGGAACATCCCACTGCCCCTGTGGTCTATTTTTACCTTACCTTACCGCCGTAATGACAGTGTAGTTCTCATTACGACCCTAGAAGCTTAATTATAAAGTTTCCCTTCAGGCAAAACTTTTGGCCCAGCCCGATGTGCTTTACACGAAATCGGTTTTCTAAATTGCCACCTGGGGCAAGAGTGTGGCTATTATACCTTTTCCCAAAATTTCCGAACCCGTCTTTAATTGTTCAACCAACAAATTCAATTAAGTAAAATACTTGAAGCTTCTTCCTTAACTGTTACCCTTTCCAATGGTATGCTTTTTGCTTCGCCTCCCTAAAATCTGTTTATTCCAGCTACATGTACTGTTAACAAAACATACCCTCCTTAACATGACCTCAGGCCTACGAAAATATACGACGTAGACAGGTAGCTTTATTTGCTAAGAATTTTTAAATTTTCATTTAGTTATTGTTATTGTTATATGTGTATGCCTGGGTAGCCCCTGCATTGTCGAAATTCCGAAAAAAAATGAATAATGATTTTACGGTATATCAAGTAACGTTACCTTTATTTGATTTGATTTGCATTACATCAACGTGACATTTTGTCTAATCGTTTTTGCCTGAAAACTTTTTGGCCAGAAAACGTCAGGCAGATACATATAATTTAAATTATCCCACCGCCTTACTGTTAATACTGCACTTCTAATTCACGAAATTTCACTGTTGAATATTTATCAAGATCGTATTAGTAAGAACCTCCGCCGGTTGGCGCTCGTATAGCGTGACGGGATATCATAGGTGCGAGTTTTTCCGCGCGCGGTGGATTCTGGGATAGTTCCGAGGCGAACAGTGAAAGATCGCTTCATTAGCATACGCCCCCAGTGACTGCCAGGGTGCGTGTGTGTGTGTGTTTCCTCATCGGTAGACGCCAATAATTGCAGCGGAAACCCCGTTTTATTTCTAATATGATGTATTTCTCTTCGCACAGGCGTTTTCATCAGGGTGATTTCCGCCGTTGACGTGACGAGAATGGCCGAGGGGCAATTGGAAGGGTTTCTACATGCAAATGAGGGGGCAAGTTCCCGTCTGAACCAGACACACGCGCCCCAGTCAAAAATGGACTTCAGGTGGGACACACCGGCAAACGGTAGCGCGATGGAGCTGGACCTGTTCCCGTCCGCGCTGGAGTCCACGGTGCTCCCCATCCTCTACTGCTTCCTCTGCGCGTTCGGACTGGCGGGGAACGTCTTAGTTATCTACGTGGTGTCCAATTTCTCCAAGATGAGAACTGTTGCCAACGTGTACCTGTTAAACCTCGCCGTGGCTGACGTGTTGTTCCTCCTGGTCCTGCCGTTCCTGGCGACAGACGTGATTCTGATGGCGTGGCCCTTCGGGGATTTCATGTGCCGGAGCGTGGTCTTGGCCACCAACATCAACGGCTTTGCGAGCTTCTTCTCCCTGGCGGTGCTCAGCGTCGACCGGTACTACGCGACGGTCCAGCCGCTGCAGTCGCTTCAGCATCGCACCGTCAGCAAGGCCCGCTGGGTGTCCGTCGGCGTGTGGAGCGTGGCCCTGGTCCTGGTGTGCCCCTTCATCGTCTTCGCCAGGACGGCCACAGACACGAGCGGCGCCGAACACTGCATCGTCGACTGGCCCGGCACGATCGGAGACCCCAACTTCGGCAGCCAGGTGGCCATCACCTACTCCTTCGTCCTGGGCTTCGCCGTTCCGCTCCTCTTCATCACCGTGTGCTACGCGCTCATCATCTTCCGCCTGCGGGCCAAGGGCCCCATCCCCCCGAGCGGCGTTACAGCGCGCTCCCGTAACAAGATCACGGTCATGGTGTGCGCCGTGGTGCTGGCCTTCACCGTCTGCTGGCTGCCGTATCACGTCTTCAACATCGTCCGCATCAGGATGGGGATGGACGTGTCCCTGGCCGTCAGACAGACCGCCCTGGCCGTCAACCTGCTGGCCTTCTGTAACAGCGCCATCAACCCGCTCATCTACCACTGCCTCGGAGAGAACTTCAGGTAAGACACTGTCACAACTTACTCCCGACCAACAACCAACCGACCAAGGTTGGCTGACGTTTGGTAGCAGCCAGACCAGATTTAGGCCATGCGAACCTCTCTCTCTTCCTCTCCCTCTCCCTCTCTGTGTGTCTCATCACACACACACACACACACACACACACACACACACACACACACACACACACACACACACACACACACACACACACACACACACACACACACACACACACACACACACACACACACACACACATATATATATATATATATATATATATATATATGTATGTATGTACGAATTGAATTTCATTTGAGTTAAATGTGAGTAGAATGTAACCTCCGAACACGCCCAGAACACTGCCGACGAAGTTGTGCGTCTTGCTCTTTAAACACAGTGATATCCCTGAATCCAATACACTCCCAGCCAAGGTGGAGAAAACATACGTACATTGATTTTTGCATTACAGGTAAATCTCATGTCGTAACCTTATTTCTCACACCAGTAGGTGTTAAGTAGCATGTAATACACCAACTCCACTCTAAATGTCACTTTACTAACACACGGTTTTCGGTCTTGATCTTCATATACAGGAAGTCATTCCGGCGAGTCTGCCTCCCCCACTCAAGAAACACCTCGCGGAAGTCCACAAGAAGGTAAGGAATTACTGGCGCCGATTTGCGACCTTGGTTGGTAGACAGATAAATCCTTTTAGATGCAAGTGCTTTGGTTAAACGAGCTTTTACGGCTCCAAGAATCATCCGATTTATTTAGTGGACTTGGCCAGGGAATCGCCGAGTAATGTTTATGGGCCGGAAGTATTTTCCAGCGCCTTAAAAGGGATTTGTGGAGTATGGGACTCACAGAACGGATAACCAGTGTGTGGAGGTTTTATTTTTCTTACCTAGGTAGGTAGGTAGGTTTTATTTGAGACAGGAAGATAGGCCGAGGGTACCAGAAAAGGTTATATAGAAGAAACTCTAAACATTTGATGTTGATATGAGATTTTTCATTTCTGATTCCTGGTGTTTTTTATCGCAGTTCTACTTGGTTCACGTATAGGTGCGGAAGCATTTTGGTGCAAATGGTCGAACGATTGGATTTTATGACCACACTATACACCACACCAGCAAATATAGTGGGGAAACGTTGAACAGACGTTGAACATACAGGTCTATGATCTATTTGAACCTTTGAAAATGTCTGGTGCAAGTGTCCCATTTATTCTACCAGACGGTGGGTGATAATGCAACACACTAAAATGCCAGACATGCAATAAGCTTGTAGATAATGAAGGGCACAGTATAATATTTGCTATTTCGTGCTGTTTTAGTTCCCGGTATTCTTTTGGGTGCATGAGTTGTACTAGTTTTTGTTTCCCCTTTCCTGTTTCGTTTGCATGGTGGGTGGGAGGTGACTTTTACAAGTGATTGATAGGAGGGTCAATCCCCAACATGACCCAACACACGCGGGGTACGTAAGTGAAGGAATTGAGGAGGCTGTATAGTACCACGTTAAATAACATCATACAATCCCCTCAGACAATTGGCCAGGCAGTATCCAATTGGCCAGAGAGGGCTGGCGACCTTCTCTGGCAAATGGATACTCTCTTGCCACCCAAAATCCGTTTCATGTTGTTTAGTTCATTTTATGTGTCTTCTCACAATTCTCGGTGGGTCATTACTTTAATGTAACTTTCTTCTGGTAATTTACAATATCACATATGTCAAACTTTGTAATTTCTTAGTTACAAACTTATAGTTAGTTATATACACCACCTACTATCTTAATAACATGGCTTTCTCTAGAACGTCAATCTATTCAGTTTCGACTTGGAATCTCGCCACAATGCTAAATAATCCATCTCTTCTAAACGCTTGTTGATTAAATTAACCGGTTGATAAGCGGCGAAATGAAATCATACAAATCTCATTAATTTATTAATATTCAAGATTAGTATAGCGATAGAGGTACTTTCTGGGACAGCGATATGTTTTCTAATCGCAGATTGTTATCCATCAATATTCTGCACCACGTTACGATGATAGTTTCTCCCTGCGTCTTTAGGGAGAGTTTCCCACAGTTCGTGGCCAATCAACCGATTGATTAAAGCAGGAAGCGATCTGCAGATCTTTAGAGATGGATTTGCGTGGGAAATTTAATCTAGCAGAACGCCATTGCTACCACTACTGGGAATTCTAAAATACTTCCATGTATTGAGACGTCATTGCTAAGGCCAAGTGCACAGACCTGTATTCGATAGGGGGCAGCCGGTTAAACCTGACAAAAACCTCAATACTGGGAGACAAATTAACTTTGCTAAAAGACTTTTATCAATGGAGACGGGGGTCGCAACCTCTCATGCATCTCTGAACCCTTTTAAAGATTCCTTTAAGGAAAGGTCGCAGAAGGTCCTGTTTTCTGCATTGATGGATGTTTCCTGCAGTTATTGATGTAAGTACGGAGCACAATGGAAACTTCCTTGGTTCGGAGATGGAGGCTTTCTGATATTGATTTTGTGGATGGTGCTCTCTCATGATTTTTTTCTTGTCCCTTTTCGCTCTTTTTCTTTTGCTTCACGTTTCAGCACAGAAATAATCCCCAAGACGAGTTCTTTATTTTCTGGGTGGTACCCTAAAAATCAGCCCAGGATACTACCAGGAACCGTTTTCGGTCACAAATTTCAGTTTTTTGCTCCATAAATGTCGATAAACATTGGTATCGTGTAGTTTATCGTGGACCTAGTATGTAGATAATTGAGAAGAATATAACGACTTTGAAAAATTTTCTTTTCAAGCCCTAAAATCTGCACTCGGCACCTTTAAAAGCGGGAGATGACTTTATATCAGCACTCGAACAATTTTTCTAA